GATGCTTGGATATAAGATATCTTAGGGTGTGTTTGGTAAAACTAGCTGATAAGCTAGCTGATAGCTGATAAGCTAGCTTATAGCTTATATGTGATAAGCTAGCTTATAGCTTATAGCTTATGACTTATAGCTTATAAGCTAGCTTATATGATAAAAGTGTTTGGTAAAAGTAGCTTATAAGCTAGCTGAAATAAAAAATTCAACGAGCTTATTTTGAAACGCTACCTAAACAAGCTTATCAAATAAGCTCGAGCTTTTTAAATAAGCTCGTCCTACCAAACAGGGCTTATTTAATACAGGAAGCTTATAAGCTAATCAAATAAGCTATAAGCTAGCTTATATGTCATACCAAACATACCCTTAAACAAAAGTTAATTATTTTTAATTAATTATTTTTTAACTTAAATCTAGCTCAACATTAAACCAATCATCCTCAATATTATTAGTATGTTTGAATAATATAAATTAATTATTTTTACACATTAGATCAATTTTAATTCACTATTCTCAAATCATAAAATTTAACTAATCATTATTTCACATAATCTATTTAATATTTTTACATCAAATCAATTTTAATTATTTTATTTTAAATATTATTTTATATAAACTCAAAAATCCCACTACCATCTAACTATACCACATATTTCAAAATTACTAAACCGAATTACTATATTCAAGTATCCCATAAGGATTTTACCAAATCAACAAATTTTAAGGAGGGGGTGTATCGCAATTCAGAGTGACATTTAAAAACAATTATAAATCTAAGACCTTTTCGTTTGAAACTTGAGTGTTATTTTGAGATTTTTTGAGACTTGAGACTGTAAGATTTTCTTATTTAGGAAGAATCTTATGAAATGTTAAGTATGAATGTGAGATTTGGAGCGAGCGTTTATGTTTTTTTCTTTTAAAATTCGAGGAAATTTTAAAAAGTCTTACCAAATCATAGTCTCAAATAGGTTAAATATATCATGATTTTGTTTAAAATTTCAAATGATATCTCGAGACGTTTACGAAGTCTTAAGAATGTATATAGAAATCTTAAAACGAATACACCCCCTACAACTTGTGGATTTCAATAGAATTCTTAGAAACCCCACATTGGGAGGTGAAATTTGGAATGAGATTTCATATATGTATTTGTTTTTAACTCTCAATAAATCTTGAGAAGTTCAGACAAATTCTTTTTTTTTTTTCGCAAAACAATAGATTAAATTATAAATCAAAATGCACAAATATGCGAAGACACAGAACATCTGAAAAAGTGGGAGGACAGGTCAGAAAACCGCCTAAAATCTTGACAATAGCAAAGCTAGAATAAGGACACTCGCAACTACACTACGACCAACTACACAAACAAACAGAAACTACTAAAAAAGATTCCACTAGGATAATACCCGAGCGTCTGATCTCAAACAGGATAATAAGATGACACTCGGGCTCACATGGGCCAACCACCCAAATCAAAAACACTGATCCTAGACAACAACAGACAAGACAACACAAAGAAACGACTAAAACGAACACACATCTAGAAAAAAAACAACTACTAACAAAAAAAAAAACACTAAACCCCCTTCAGCAGAGACGTCCAAGACTGGACAGCAGACAAGGCCGATTTCAAGGAAAGATCCGCAGCAAAGGAACTCCGCTCTTCACTGCCTAATGCCTAGTAAAGACGAATACCCAAGCCACAAAACAAACAAAAAAACCGACCCGCTCTTCTACCGCAAGAAACCACAATCGACCCCCCATCGGTTAACACCACTAGCCAAATCTGTTACCATCCCGAAACTGCCTAGCAGCACTAGCCAATTTCCGAAACGGTCGACCTCCCTCATGATCAGAAAGGTCAAAAATGAGGAAGGACTCGTATGGAATCACGGCCCAACCGCTACAACACAACCCAACAGGCGATAATCTCCCAACCCAGTGCACAAAGTTGAACCCCGCCACAACCACCCCACAACACTGAAACAAGAGAGAGCTCCAGCGATAACAAGAAAATCGAAACGGGGCGGACTTCAAGGCCAGTCAAGAAAAAATCGACCTTACCTGAGTTGAAACGAGTAACCAAGCCACATCCAAGGATAGACGACATACCCCCTAAACCACGAACCGCAAGACGCCGGCAGCCATCGCACATAAAAGAAAATTTGTCGAAACCCTAGCCCACCCCGTTTGCTTAAAACGCAGAACGGGAGCGTCGCTGACCGAATTAAGGATGCGCAGCAGGAGAGTCGTCCACCGGTGAACCCGGACGACCGCTGAAAGAGGCACAAACCGACAATGAGTAGACGGAGAGCGAGAGAAAGGGGAAGAAACAACGAGAAATCGTAAAGTTCAGAAAAATTCAGGTGATGAATAAATTGCCCGACCTTTTAAAACCCTTTGAGATCTAAAAGGAACACCTCGTGATTTTTCAAGACTTCTTTAAATACAAAAAAAAAATAAAATACACCTTAATTCTTAAAATTCCAATAAGTATTAAAGAATCTATGTAATATAATTGCTAGCAATCCATTAAATAAAACACCATAAATTTTGCCTCATAAATTTTACCTCATAAATTATGCCTACGTGACACTTACCTTTCTAAAAATGATTCTGTTAATTTTGACAAAAACCATTACATTTTATATTATTTGAGTAATAATTATATATATATATATATATTGTATCATATAATAGTTATTACTAGAATTAGTAATTATATTTTAAATCAATGATATATGAAAGTGCATAAACATAAAAAATTGTATTGTCAATTTTTTTGTTCAAGTGATTTATTCTAAAATACAATATATATTTTTTATTTGATTAAGAGATTGTTTTTAAATAAATTAATTAGGTTTATTGTCATAGTAAAATCGCAATTGTTATGATAAATTTAACATTTTTCAACA